CTTCCTTCCTTCCTTCCTTCCTTCCTTCCTTCCTTCCTTCCCTAATGTGAAGCACACAGTCATCTCCTGAGTGAGGGTGGCAGGCTGAGTGAGCCAGCCTCCTGGTCCCTGTGGTTGCTGTCTCCCTGGTCCCCTGATTCTCCAACTGCAAAGAAGATTCCTTACCTGAGGCCCACCTGTAACTGCCTAATTTCTAAGCTTTCCCAACAGCCATGCAGAAATATGTGCATGTTTTAATTAAAAAGACCCCAAACCAATTAAGATAAAACATCTTGGTGACTGTAAAATTCATAGACATAAATTGTTTTTTTTCCCCCAGAGGGGGTTGAAAAAGTAAAATCTCCTTTCTTGTTTAATTAAAAAATGAAACAAGGCATCTTTTGAAGGTGACAGACAAACCCCCTGAAACTGCTGCGAAGACCTCAGATTCCTGTTTGTCTCCAAACCCCCTGCCTGGCCCTGACACTCCTCTGGGCGTGGCCTAATCAGGGCAATAGATGACTCCATTGGGTTATATGAGGGGCCCCAAGAGCTCTATCCACTGCCCCCCAGTATCTTACTCATTAGCCCATAATACTGCTTGTAATTTCCATATATAAAGATCAAATCCTTTGTGCTACTGCATTGAGTTTCCTGAAGGCCCCTGCCAAAATGCAAATAAATCTGGCTGTAAGTACTCAGTTCTCTTGTTATCAACCATAGGGTCACCCTTAGGGTGACTTAATTTGTCATGAATTAGTAAACTAAGTCATCTGAGGGGATGGGACTCAGGTGAAGAAAATTATAACAGTGGAAGAGAAAGACAGTGGTGTCAGAGCAGGCCCTGCCTAGGTAGGGCGTTCTCAGGAAATGGGAATTAGCCCCTTCCCTGTAGCTTCTACCCACTAGTAGAGACAGTTGAGTCTTCAGAATAAAACTCTCAGACACTAGTCTGGGATCAGTTCTCATTAGGGGCTACTAGCCCATTGCTTAACCCGGTAAGACCAGCCTTGATGGCATCTTGTCACAAAAAAGATCATCACACGGTGGCCAGTGGAACCCTTCCCCCAGAATCCCTACTCTTCAGACACAGAAATGAGATGCCAGCCCAGTCTCGGAGGTGTTGACTCAGGGACACACAAACAGTGGCATAGAAGAACAAGGCCCACATGGCTACCAGATACCACAGGACCTGGATGGACTCTAAGACACCTTCCACTTCTAAATCTGGGTCCTCAGGTGGGTCACCTAACCTACTCTATAAGACACAAAGGTTGGACTAGATCAGAGGCATTAAACGTGTGGCCCTGGCCACACGTGGTCCACAACACTCTCAAATGTGGCCGAACCAGATTCCCAAGTCAGTCCTATGTGATTCTAATGTGTTGTTATATTAATAAAATACATACATACATATGTATATATATGTATATGTATGTGTAGGTATATATACACACATACATACATACACATATACATATATATACATATATATATATATATGTATATATGAACATATGTGGTATCCTAAGTTAGTATTTCCCCACAGAGTTTCTTATGTATGGTTTAATAGGCCCTGTTACTATTTGAGTTTGATGTCACTGGCCTACATGGCTGCAAAGATTCCTTCCAGGTCCAGATATTTCACCCTAGGACTCAGTCCTTAAGAGTAGGTATTATAAGGCCTTCTCTATAACTATATTATAAGGGTTTTCCCACAAACTAGAGAAAAGTCTATGGTAGGGGTACCAGGCAGGAGCAATGGGTGTGTTCAGAGCAGAGAGCCTGTCATAGGAGTGTGTAGGTCCTGACTCTTAACAGAGATCTATCTGTCAGACAGTCACGATGACCTTGGGGAAGTCCTTTCCCCTCTATAGGTCTCGGTTTCTTCCTTTGTAAAATGAATGGGTTGGGGTACTCCTGGGGTGGTAGGTCCTGAGAGAGACACCAAGGCAGCAATCACTTCCCAGCAAGGTCTTAGAGCCCAATATTCAGTGGCAAGTTCTGCCTACGGAAAGACCAGGACAGAGGCCTGAGGAAATCAGGCCTTCCTCTATGACTATGGCTTTGGATATGTTTCTCACTGCATGGGATTTTTGTCTTCAGCCCTCTGCATGTCAGTAGAAAATGAAAGCTTGTTTTTCTGTCTACCCATTTGAATTCCCGTTGTGTTTCAAGGTTGTTTTTCTTTTTTGGGGGGGTAGGGTGGGGTTAGGGGAGGGCAGCTTAGTGTTTCTATCTTAGGAAGGTTAGTGGAAAGAGCACTGGATTTGGAGTCAAAGGCCCTGGGTTCAAATCCAGACTTCGCTACTCGCCAGCTGTTAGACTTTCCTCTCTGGGCCTCATTTTCTTCCTCTGTAACAAGAGGATCTTGAACTAGATGATCTATTTCTAAGGTCTCTTCTAGCTCTAAATATTATACCAAGGTCAGGAAGGCTTTGCTGCTTCCTGGAGGGTGTGGTAACTTCTCTTCAGGCATGGCTGCTGTCTGTATGCCCAGGGAGGCTTCTGGCTGACTCCCTGGTTCTCTGGGGCCTAGCTATGAAAGAGCTGGGAAGCTGGGAAAGCTGATATTCCCATGGGATTTGGTAGGAGAACAGGGAAAGCAACTGTCTCATGGGTGAGAAGGGGACCACCAATGGGGATGAGAAGAAACCCCCCCAAGACCACCCGTGGTTTCACAAATCTGCCAAGGGCTATCGAGAGCCCCGCCATGGGGATGAGGATGTACAATCCAATTCTGACAACCCAGCTCCCTTCCCCCCTCTTCCTGGTAAAAACTGGCTGTCCAATCAATAAAAATGAATAATTTAAATTCAATATCCTTCTGTCAGCATCAATAATACTTTGGTGAATGATGTACTCCTATGGTAATTCAATTTGTCAGTGGCTGTCACACTGTTGCATGACAGTCTGCTCAAGATGTAAACTTAATTTATTTGAGGCCATAGCTACCAGTTCCATTGACAGGTTTTATCTTTAAAAGTATTGATTCCCCCCCAGAAAATATCTCCTCTATATTTGTGTTTATTGAATAAATAGGTAGCTGTCTGACTAAGACAACCTGGGAAGAGGAAGGAGACTTTTCCCACTTGGTCTACAAGCTGACCCTTTACGGATTGTGCCTTGAGGGGGATCGCCGAGGTAGGCTCTGTTCTAAGTTCTCCTCTCCTTAATGAGAAGTTCATATGCCGTTAGCTGAAAACAGAGCTCGTTAAATCATGGGAGCTTGAGATCCCAGAAGCGGAGCTGGAAGAGATTGTAGAGACCATCTCATCCAACCCTCCCATTTTCCAGATAAGGAAATAGAGGCCAAGAGACTTGCTCAAGGTCACGCAGGTAGTAAGTGATAGACTCAAGACTGGAACTCAGATCCTGTGACTTGATGTTCATTACTCCCTCCAATGCCACAGTTACAATTTGAAGGAACCCACTGTGAAAGCAGGGACTGGAGGGGGAGAGTGAAAAATGCTGAGGAGGCTTCAGTTGATTCAGCGGTTCTGCCTGTGGGACCTGGACCAAGTCCCTTCCCCTGACTGGGTCTCATTTCCAGCTCCTTCACTTACCGTTCCCTCCTGGGTTTCTTTTCTAAAAAAATTTTGAGGATAAAATGAGATAAGAAAAATGCATAGCACAGTGCCTGGTATATAGTTGGTGTCTAATAAATGATTATTTCCTTCTATTCCCTTCCCTTTGTTCTTTTTAAGAGATGTTGTGAGGATAACATGAGATACTATTTGTAAAGTGTTTAGTACGCAGCCTGACAAACAGTAGGTGTGTAATAAATGCTTGTTCCCTGACCTTCCTTTCTCTTTTCTCTTTTGTAGAAATGTTGTGAGGATAAAATGATAAAATATAAGTAAAAGGCTTAGCCCAGAGTCTTAGCATGTAGTTGGCATCTAATAAATGTTTCCTTCTACGTCGTTCCCTTTTCTGTTTTCTAGAAATGTTGTACTAAAATGAGATACTATTTGTAAAGCGCTTAGCACAGTGCCTGGCACATAATAAGGGCATAATAAACACTTTCATCTCTCCCTTCC